GTTCTTCTCTAATGAAACGTTTCGTCTCTCYTCCAAGAGACTTCTTCAGTCTGAGAGTTTCAGGCAAAATTCAGGCTTTTGAGTCCTGCCTCCATGTGACTGATATGTGTCATGTGTTGTGACGTCCTCGGCCCACCCCAGTTACCACTACTGTGCATGTGTTTCAAAGACAAAGGCAGATGTGGCAGTGGAAGGTGTCAAAGCAGTTTGGAGAGAAAAACAAAGTAAAGAACAAAAAAAAAAAAAAAAAAAAAGATTAATCGATTATTAAATTAGTCATCGATTATTTTAATAATCGATTAGTCGTCGATTAATCGTGGCAGCCCTAATCATCTGCTGCACACAGTTCTAATCATTTATTATCAATAATAATTTTATTGATAGTTATTATGAGGAGTCCTTAACTAGGATGTAGTTAGGCAATTAAATGTTCATGTATGTGTAAACTTATTACCATAATTGCAGGTGAGTCACATAAATTTATGTTTTTATAAAACAAGTAGCCCCCCCACCGCCCCGCCCGCCAGCCAAGACCAATTTCCAAGAGGAAACACTGTATTTCCTTTTATAATCTGTTATTAGGTCAGGATGATTAAAATTTTCAGATGTTTATTTTATAATTTTTATATATTCAATATAGTATGTAACTAAAAACCTTAAGTAATTACCAAAATTAAGTACTGATAAGCATTATGATCAGTTAGTATTTACCTTTTAAAGTAGTAACTTATTATTTTGACTATCTTCTTTTAGTGTAACTGGCTGAGTGTTGATTTCAATAACTGGAAAGACTGGGAGGACGATTCAGAAGAAGACTTGTCAAGTTTCGACAAATTCTCAGAGGTAAATTTGTTGAACAGAGTTTAATCAGTGAATATGTTCAGACAAATTGATGTTAACTTTCTTTATGGTCTTCAGATGATGAACAGCATGGGTGGGGATGATCTACCTGATTTAGACGGTGCAGATGAAGAGGTATGATTTTTAAAATGCTTGTGGTTTTTATGTTGATTCTTACCTGAAGAGCCTGTATTTCTGTAGAAGGATTCTTGATCATTTGCTTTTTTTTTCTGATCTGAAGTAAGAATTCCACTTCTGCCTTTCTTTTTTCCCTCAGCATGATTCTGCAGATAGTGACGATGAAAGTAAGTACAACTCCAAAAGATTGGGCCTATAATTTGTATTGATTAGTCATTTGTTACTACATTTGGTGTGAGAACACAGAAGCAAGCGGCTGCCTGTAGTGCTTGGCAGTGCAAATTGTGCAGAAAAGGATAATTAAATTAGAAATAATTAAGTGTAACTGTTGCTTCACTCAACCAAAATACGGATTTCTTAGCACACCCTTGTGCTTTTTATCTCATGTTATTCCCGCCTTTATTCCTTATTGACCTGAGTTATTTTATCTTGGCGAAGGTGAAAAGGAAATAATATAAAAAGACTTATGTATAGTTTTGGTCTAAAGTAACTTTTTTTTAGTTTAACACTAATTGCAGCTATAAAATGTTATTTATTTGATGTGAAATAGAATTTATTAAATGTATGTCTAAAGTATCAGTTCAAAAACATGCATGTTAAGCTGCCTTCAGGCCCAGGCCTCCATTGCCAAAGAGAATCTCAATGGGATTTTCCTGGTTAAATAAGGTTAATAAAATAACTTGCTACTGTATAAAGAAAGAAAACATTGATTAGCCAGTAAAGAAGAAGAACAGAGATTATGTTTTAGTTTTCTCAAGGGCTTATTAGATTTTTACCCACCTCAGTAAAAGCACTGTTTTCAGGGCATAACTATTTTAGCAGWTATGACAAATGCAGTTTTATTCAGACTATCTAGAGATGTTTAAACATACAAATTTAGTAGAACGTAGCCTCAAAAAATTGTAATTTGTGTTAACTTCAAAGANATCTAGAGATGTTTAAACATACAAATTTAGTAGAACGTAGCCTCAAAAAATTGTAATTTGTGTTAACTTCAAAGATAAGATTTTAAAGGTCTTGATAAATTTTGAATCTATTCTTATTTTTAAGAAAAAATATTGAAGGCGACCTAATGTGCAAAATTAGTTTCTAAAAACAGTCCAAGTACCAAAAAAAGTGCACTCAGAGGTATTTTTACTGTAAGTAAATGTATTTTTCTGTTTTGAAATGACCTGTTGTCAAACATTGCTGTTAGTGATGTCACAAACAGTACTCCAACCCACCCCAAGCAGAGACTCCGCCCACTTCTTCACAGGAGGTTCTGCTGTTTTAGAACAGAGATGTGTGGCTTGATTTATTATTTTTTTTATGTCAATATTAAAGAAAGTTGTGGTTTGTGTAAATAATTTCACCATGGACTACTTTGGACAAATAGTACGTTCTACTGAAAGTAAACTTCTGGCCGAGGGCAGAGTTAACGTAAACAAAAGGTTGGGAGGGGTTTTCCATAGCAACTTATGCATAACAGCACATTCTGAAGAGAGCTGAAGAACAGGCAGAACTGAAAAGGTGAAATTTCATTATCTGAGATTAATTTTGTGAATTAAATCAAATGAACATGTTTTGTAAAGCCCACAGATGGATCCTAACTCGTTCTAGGACCCCCATATTAGGTCACCTTTAATGGGTAAAATGTAATAAAAACTTTAGTATTAGAATAAAGTTATTTTTAAATGTTAATGCAAAAGATAATAAAATAGTTGAATATATTGTAGAATCTGCTAAAGTTCCTGAATTTTACACACTGCTTAAGTCATGATTTGGAATAACAAATGATGATTTTGAAGCATTTAAGTCTGGATTAGCTTCTTCCAAAATTCCTGTGACACCTTTTTATATGTACAGTATTTGTGTCCTCACTCCCATTTTCTTTGATTTTCATGTGTCCAAATTGTCTCTCCTCCAGAAATGCCAGACCTTGAGTAGACCAGTATGGCTGCCACCTCACTAGTTAACAAATGTTGTGAATCTGGTACAAACAAGACCAGATGAGTTGGTGGCCTGTTGAAGAATCATCCATCATCTCTACTCAGTTTCCAAAGTGACATCCCTCGATGAAGTGACTGTTGGATACCGATGTGCACAGACTTCCATAGCGTCATACTGTACTGTGCTTTGCTGGTTTTGTTTTGTTTGTTTTTTCTGCATGAACAKTTCTGTTCAAATAAAAAATATTATTCCTTGACTTAAACGAATGGGATGTGCTGATGTCTTACACCTTCTTTCCCTTTTTTCAATGTCAGTTTATGTAAAACACAATTTCTAATGAAAAAACAAACCAGAAGGCCTATTTTACAAAAAGATGTTTTCATGATAGATTTTTTCCCCCTTTAATGTTTGTATTGTAAATTGCACTAATGTTTAATTTAAATGGCAAGAGTTCTGCTTTATATTGGTATTCCAGTGTGTTCTGACATCTTCAGATATTTAACAGCAATTTCATTTTTAAAAACCTGTTACAGCATTTAAAATAAACAGCAATGCTTGTTCTACTTAAAACTTGTGTTGATTGTCCTTGTGGAGCAATTCAATTTGCACAGTCACTTTTCTTTCTATAAAACGTCTCATATGTTTGATTCTAAAGTAGTCATCCTGATGCCATCTAAAGGATGAGAAGAAATATACCGTATGTAGCCTAGAGTTATTCATAAAGGATAATGTTTGTTTATAAATTGCACAAAATAGTAACTTTGAAAGCTTGTATTTCAAGCAGCTCTGCACTTTGTATTATGTGATCCAACTGTAATTGTTCTGTTCATGCTGGTCATAAATTCATATTTACACTTGAAGATCACAGGATTGGAATCAAGAAGTGGAACATGTTCTGAAATAGTTAAATCATTGTCCACACAGGCCTAGAGGTGTTGGAAAGAACTGGGAAAAACAAATATTGAAGGGGATTACCACCTTTGTGTGTGTGTGTGTGTGTGTGTGTGTGTGTGTGTGTGTGTGTGTGTGTGTGTGTGTGTGTGTGTGTGTTGGCTACAAAAAAGGAACTGTAACCATAAAATTCCTTTCTGTTTATGCAAATAGTAAGCTGGTAATGATTTTGCTGTATAGGTTCTCAGCCAGCTGAATGGAAAGTAGCCTGGCCAAAGGAGGAAGTACAAGCTACATATAGCTCCTCACAAACCATGGAGGATTTCACTCCCAAGTTCACCTTTATACTGAACACTAAGTAAAAGGAGGCGTAGGCAGAGGAGTAGTATGTCAAAGCCTTTGTACAGAATAGAACAACTAAGATTCTAAAGAAAATCAAAAAGAAAACCTCCAGTGATGAACTTCCAAGTCAGGGATGGGCAAAAACCACAAAAGGAAAAACCACAAATCTTTTTGACACTACTGGAGGGCCACATAGCATTCCCAAATTTAATAAAACTGCCATTTAATAGTGTGTGTGTGTGTGTGTGTGTGTGTGTGTGTGTGTGTG